ATCGCCACATGGGTCTTCAGCCTCCATTTCAGGCCTTCTCCTCTGTCCTGCTCACTTTCCCTCCTTGCCCTTGGGAATCTCTCCACCCCTCTGGTCTCAGGCAGGGAAAGGGGGAAGTAGCCCCAGCCTATCTCTGAGCCACACATTCAACAAAGCGACATAATGAGTTGCGTTTTGTTGAGGGCTCTCCAGGTCCCCCAAATCTTTCTCAAATGTGATTGTTTATAAAATGTTTGATAAAAATAAATGATGCTTTCAATTTAAACAAAATTTCACACTGTTACTGGTTTTAATAACAGTTTTGACAGATGAGATTTTCATCATCTGTTTTTTCTTTGTGAAGACTTCTTCAATAAACTAAAAATGCTTTAAACTAACAGATGTGACTATAAAGTAAGGCTTGGGTGTGAGACATCAGGAACTAAGGCTTGTCAAATGCTTCGAGATAGAAATTTATTCCCAGTGCAAGCATCTCCTGGGTATCGGTAAAGTCACCAACCTAATGATTGTCGGCTAACCTGTGAAGCTCGTTTTAGCAGCAAGATGCCATTTATCCCAAACAGGGAATATATCTACCTCTGCTCCTCCTCATCCGCTCCCCAGACCTAGCAAGTTCCGCTACCCCAGCTATTAGAAACCTATTGAAAAGTCAACCCAAATTTGCTTGAGCTGATGTTGACATTTGATAAACTGATGATTCACGATTTTTTTCTCCATCGGCTCAAAAATTTGAATTTTCAGTGATATCCTGTTTATAATAAAGAAGTTATTTCTGCCTGTTTTAAAATACATAAATACTTATTTTTTAACAGACTTGAAAGGCTGGAAATTAAGACTGCAGTGCTCTGATTTTGAAATAGCTCCCTTGCCTCCAAAATATAACAGTTTGAGGGCTGCTTTTTTCCCTTTTTTGTGGTGCCTTTATATATTTTAAACAGTTATTCTTGCACAGAGAAATATAACATTGTGAGGCAAATTGACAAATCAGTTTAGCAACAAAAGTAATTCTAAAGGTTAGTTAAATTAAGGAGTGATATTATGTAAAGAAAGTTTTTCTTAAACCTTGTTACATTCCAAATGAAATATCCTCTCACACCAAAAAGTATATGCCAAAATTTATTAACATGATCTAGAGATTGAGAAATATTTCCTTCCGTTTATGTCTCTTCTGCTAACATTACATATAGTCTATCAAGTCACTTCCACAGCTTTACACCTCCCTAAAATGGGCACCAGGCACCGCTTCTATGTGATGGAGTTAATGGATGGCTCACATACCATTTCTTATCTCCCCAGTCTTCCTCGAGGCCACCCAGTGAAACAGCCCCCTGGGAGGCCCAGGCTGCTCAGTGCCTGGGCCTGCCCTGACAGGAGCAAGAACTCATTCTCTTCTTCTAAACAGTATCCAAAGGAAGTTTCTCTGACCAAAGAGGTATCCACAAGGACCATCCCAGTTCAGGGGCGCTGGCAGAGCTAGGCAAGAGGGGCTGTCTGGAGCTGACTTTAGCCTGAGACAGGCTGGCAGACCTCAAAGCAAGGCACTGCATGAGGGAGGAGAGAGCTGCAATAAAGAGAGAGAAGAAATGCCTAGACGTAAATGCCAAGAATGGCCCTAGTCAGGTAGTCCAGAGCTAGTGTGCAAAGACCACGTCAAATTCAGACTTGGGTTGAGCCACAGTTGGAACAAGGTGGTATTGGGGTAGAGGCCAATTGAGAACACAAGGTCTAGCTACATTCTCTGGAGAGGAGGCAAGATCTAGCTCCTAGGAAGAGACTGGGAAGAAGCAAGCAGAGTTTCAGAGCTCCAGTCCTGCAGTCTGGAGTTGTAGGTAGAAGATCCTGGCCGAGAGCAGCTGATGAAGCAAGCAGCTGTCTGTCTCCTCTGCTAGACTATGAGCCGCGTTGTGTTCCTCTCTGCATCTTGGGCAACCTCATAGCATCTCCACATAACAGGAGCTGAGTTCATGCCTCCAAATGAGTGAATAAATGAACCAGAGTGAAAAATTAGTGAATGAATAACTATGAAACCCCTTGAAGCTCTAAGAACACACAATTTTATCTGGCACTTGGAACATACTTGTACAGCAGAATTCTGTTTTCAGATCATAAAGAAAATAATCTGATGATGATCGTGACATGCTTTTCTAAATATGAAGACTGAAAGACTTAAAATAATACCCCATGACTTTATCTTTTATAGATTCTCAGATCATCTTGATAATTTATTACCTGCTAACTCTACTGGACACATATTACGGTCAGAAATGGAAATATGAAGAAGATAAATTTAGTGTTAACTATGGCTATTTAAAAAAAAAATCCTGTTCTTTTTTCATCCCAACATGTCAGAGACTCTCCATCTATCATTTTATCCCTTTTCTGAAGGGAAAGCCCCAAAAGGACTTGGGATTCATCTTTCAACCTCTTCTTCCCCAATCATTTCCTGGTGCAGTTCAAATAATCATCCTCTTCAAACATCTTTAGTCTCTCCTCTGTCTTCTTCTGACTTCCACTTCTAAACATTTTCCCTTTATTTATGCATCAATCAGCCATTCATTCATTTATTCATTCAACAAACACTAATTAAGCTCTGTGACAGGTATTATCCCAAATTTGGAGTATGCAAAGGTAAGAAAGAGATGGTCTTTGCCTTCAGGAGTATCCCAGTATAGTGGGGAAGACAAACTCATGAAGGCCTACGTAACAGGACAGCGGGTTCCATCTAATGACACCTTGGGAAGGAGGAAGGCATTCCTTTCCTTGTTACCACCACCTTGGGCCCCACCACCTGGGGTTATAATAAATGAGATGACGTGTGGGCTGGGTCTTGAGGAATGCACAAACCTGTCTCTAGAGTGACATACTGAATGCTGCCCGAGGATGGCTCTCACCAGTTGGCAATGAGGAGGACAACTTGGGTGCTAAGTGGACTTCCATGTACCTCACTGGAGTGGGGGACGAAGGGGTGCCTTCCCTCCTAGAGACCTGTGGGTTGTTTTTTTTTTAATCTCCTGCTTTTCATTTGTCTGATACCTTCACCTCCTCCCCTCCCTTGCCTTTGGGGATCTATAAACTAATCTCTGAACTAGATTAGTCTCTGAAGGCAGAAAAACTTGCTCAACAAGTATGCCTCCAAATCTTTCTGATTTACACTAAGACCAGAGGATTTTCAAACGTGTTCAGCCTTTGTTTTGGGTGATTCACTGTCTAGCTGTCTAGTCCTGCAGGAGGGTTGGGGAGGGGGGAGGGTTGCAGAGAGCAGAGGGATGGGGGATTTCCTTTGGATACAAGTAGAGAAATTACCTCAGGGATAGACAAACACCTCCTAATATATTAAATGTATTAATATATTAGAATATAATTCTTCCACTTTTCTAATATAAACTGCTAAGTAACCCATGGCATTAAATGAGAGAGACAGGGCCATTGAGGTGCCCCTGATCCAGTCTGCCAGGAGACAGAGCTGTGTTCCTGCAACAGGTTCTACTTCATTTTCCTCCTATACTTTTACTCCTCTCTTTCATGCCTAACCAACACTTTCTCTTTATCCATTCTTTTCTTAATCCCTGCAACCTGGTTTCCATGTTCACTACAGAACCAAAACTAGGCTTTTAAAGGTCACCATTCCTTTCTACCTGGCAAATCCAGGGGGCATTTCTCAGTTCTCATTTTCCTTCCTGTCTTTGATGCTTGGGTCACTATGTCACATAGTCACTAGAACCACCTACAACATGTGCTTATTCACTAACCAAAAAGATTCAGAGCAGCCTTACCTTTGGTGGTTTGGTACTTAGAATGATTTGAATATGTTTTTCCAAGCTTCACTCTCTTCTCCTAATTATGATATGCTATCCTGGTCAGGGCAGAAGGGATAGAGAAGTTGCCTCCCTTATCTGATGATCACTGGTCTGCAGAAACAGCTCGAGAACCTGAAGACCTGTATTCTAAGCCCAGCCGTATTATCTGCTATTCTGTGAGGCTCACAAATGGCTCAGCGACTTCAGAGGAGACCATACTGATGAACAGATCCCATGTGGGCCGTGGGCAGCTGAGCTGATGCCCCAGTGCACTGCCCTGGGACACCCTGACTAGGAGGAACCTACCCAGCCATGTTCAGGATAAGGCCACACCAACCAAGGATGAACCAACATACAGTAGACCCGAGGGTCTTAGGAGCCGCTGCAAAAACACGACACTCAGCAGAACTATGCACCCAGGGCAAGGGCTGAGAGAATAAAGGGAGAAGCCAGAGGGAAAATGTGGGCTCTCTGAGCAGCACCCTCCACACAGACTTCAGTTGGTCCATCTACTGTTGCCTATCAGAACAGCCTGCTAGCCATTGAATGGAAGCTCCTCTGGGAAATACCCAGGCTCTAGAAACTTCCAATTCTGGTATGGAGGCATCTGCTTTCAATTGTTTGGAAAACTGGTTTCCACCACTGCAGAAATAAAATCATGCCCCAATTTTCCCCAACATTTTTCTCCTTAATTTAACAGACCCACTCCTCTTGCGCCCATGAAGAAGAAAAAGAACTCCTTTTTAGCAGAACACAACCGTCTCACTTTAATCTTCTATTAGGACTCATTTTTACTAGTTAACCCACCAGTGTATATACAATGAAATAACTCTGCAAAAATCTAAAGCACTTACATAGTATTATTATTGACCAACAATATCATCTCTTTTGCTCATTTGCCTTTCATTGCAAGTAAATTGATTTTTTTTTTAAATATAGGGGCGCCTGGGTGGCTCAGTTGGTTAAGCATCTGCCTTCGGCTCGGGTCATGATCCCAGTGTCCTGGCATCAGGCCCGCATCGGGGTCCCAGCTCAGCGGGGAGCCTGCTTCTCCCTCTGCCGCTCCCCCTGCTTGTGCTCTCTCTCTCTCTCTGTCAAATAAATAAATATATATATAGCATTTTTTCCTTTTACATCTTGAGCCATAACAACGGACATTCCACAAGGCAAACTCAGGGCTCGGTGCTTTTCATTTGCACTCACCAGCAGAATTCTCTCATGCTCAGGACTAGTGTCCCGACCTGCACACGGATGGCATCCATGGCACTGGTGCCCATTACCCAATGCTGCTCCAGTCTTGTAGGCCCAGGACCTTCAGGACACCCTGGCTTCACCCAAGCCCAGGCTCTCGTTCAATGCTGTAGGCAGAGAAAGGAAGTTAAAAGAGCTTCGATGAATGGTTTATCCTGAACCATAGTTATGTTTCATAAATGTTTATCCTCACCAAAATCCATCTGGATAGTTACCATGATCTGTACTTTTCAGGTTATAGAACTGAGGCACAGGAAAGTGACATTACCAAAGGTCCCCCGGCTAATAACGCACAACTTCTGTGACCAAGCTATGTATTGTGACCTGACGCCCGAGCCTATGAGATTCTCTACCACACTATTTCCCTTGAAAATACAATCAGTCACAATCATTCTGTGGTTTCACTCAAGAAAGGGATCTATTTTTTTGCATTAAATTTGAAGTCTACAGTATTTGGAGTACTAAAAACACTTGAAAAAACTTGCTGATCGATATCCAAGACTAATATGTTGAATTTACTGAATATGTCTTGAGAGGTGACCCAATACTGGTAGCTATTACAGGTCTTGGCTGGCAAAAACAATCAGGCATACTGCTGCTCATCAAGACATTATCATCTCTTTTTCCTGACTCCAATCTCTCCAATAAATCTTCCATACCACTGAAATTCCATTTTCGTACTAAATAAATTTTTCTTAGACACCTACAATGCCATGATGTGCGCCCTGTATTTGAGTTACCAAAGAGATTAAGACACCTCTAACTTCAAGAAACCCACATTCAAGTCGTTCCCTTGTATAAAACTATCAGTGGCCCCCAGATATCAACTGCCTCAAACCCAACCTTCTCTACAAAGCACTGATTATATTGTTCCATCATCCTTTCCTACTCTGAACTCATAGACTAAGTGCCAACCTGTTTAGTTGTTCTAATTGTCTCATGTCTTAATTTTATCTCTGCAATGACACTATAATCTACTTAAGAGCAGGGATCACTGCTTACAATCATTCTTTTCGGTCATACACAGGACAAGGGATTACTTCTTTGGCTTTGAGCCCCTAGAGCTCTTTCATGTTGTGATGATTTAAAGGACCTTAAAAGACTTGTTGATTGATTTCAAGGATTAAATCCAACACCAGAGAATTTTCCTTCTGGTTAAAATTTTCACTTAGTTCTTTAATACAAAAATCATCACTGAGATTTATGATAAAAATTGAGTTTTATAAAAGATGTCTGAGTGAGGAAGAGAGAACATTGTTAATCATATGCTATCTAAAGTTTAATCTTGGTTCTTCTTAATATCGACTATCATCTTGGTTTCTCTTTCACTCAGTTGCATCTGTAATTTTACCAATCAGGCCAAGACTGTATTCTCTTTATCTTGCCCATTTCAGAAAATATAAAGTCAAATCTTAATGCAATTTTCTTATAATAACTACCTCCATGATCATATTACTTAGCTTTTGAGAATGAAAGAAAGGTATCCTTTTACTTTAGGCAAAGCTGTAGAGTAGGGGAGTTTGTTTTCCGTGCCTTGTCCCATGTGGCTCTCCCTGCCCTATGGACAAGCATGAGCTGATAACCTACCATTAGAGCGAACTGAGAGGATTCAAGACTAGACCTGCATCTGTCCACTGGGGTAGGCAGGCAGCCACTGATAAGGCTTAGTAGCCAAAAACTTCAGTTGGTCCTGCAGAATACAGCATCTGATGAGGAGGACAATGGATCTGGCCTTGACAGGGGGAAAGAGTATTTACTTTCTAACACATGGTCATGGCTGAACTGTAGTAACAGAGCATCTAGGAGCAGGTGAAAGTAGAATTCTAGAGCGGGAGCTGGTACCAGAGAAGCTGGCCAATAGATCTAGTTCTTGATTTAAAGACTTGGCCATGTTAGACACATCTTCAGGCCTCAGTGAACTAGAAAACCAGTAAGTCACCAGCCCAGCCACATCCAGTGGAACAGGTTAAAACTGCAATTAAACAGTAAGAGTAACTGGGGGCTCCAACAACCCCTGGAAAATGAAGTAAGGTTGTCTTGTGGGTCAGGTTAAGTGGCCTTCAGGACACCAGAAATTCAGGCAGGCGTGGAATTCAGCTTCATGATAGTAATTCTAACTCACAAAGCAATAATAATGAGGATTCAAGAGTTAATTCAAGACCCCACTCTTGTAAGTATGGTATATTCTAAGTGGAGCCTTCCAAAGTCTCTGACACAATGATGTTTATGTCAAGTGCTCAGGTGTGAGGTCGTTTCTGAGGCCCTCACTTCACACTGCTTTTGCCTGCTCAGAAGATTGACCGGGCATGGAGACCTGCTGGTTCCAAAATCATGTGCATTTAGTGAGTTTTCTTGGCACAGAAGAAGCAAGCGAAACAGGACAGTGCAGGGGTTAGCAAATTATAGCCCACAAGGCAAATCCAACCCACTCCCTGTTTTTTCTTAAATGAAGTTTTATTGGAACACAGCCACACAATTTATTTACATCTTATCTGTGATGTCTGTCACACTAACGCAGCAGAATTGAGCAGTTGTAACAGAGATGACATGGCCTGCAAAACCTAAAACAGTTACTCTCTGGCCCTTTCCAGATAGTAGATAGTGGATCTGGACTGCTACTGACCAGTCCTCACATTCACTACTTTTACTAAGCAGGTGCTATGATCTGAATGCTTGCGTCCCCCCAGAATTCATATGTTGAAATCTAACCCCAATATGATGGTATTAGGAGGTGAGGGCCTTTGGAAGATGAGTAGGTCACGAGGGTGGAGTCTTCACAAGTGGGATCAGCACCATATAAAAACGGCGAAGTTTTATCCCTTGCCCACTCCACCTTGACCTTGGACTTCGAGCCTCCAGAACTGTGAGAAATAAAATTGATGCTATTTATACTCCCCCCAGTCTAGGGTATATTGCTGTAGGGTATGCTATTCTAGTAGCCTACGCTAAGACAGTGGGTAGATCACTTTCACTCTCTCTGCTTCAAATTTCTCAGCCTTAAAAAGAGTGATAACATGGGGCCCCTGGGTGGCTCAGTCAGTTAAGTGTCTGCCTTTGGCTCAGGTCATGATCTCAGGGTCCTGGGGTTGGGCTCCCTGCTTAGTGGGGAGTCTGCTTCTCCTCGCCCTCTGCCCCTCCCCCTCGTGCTCTGTCTCTCTCTCTCAAATAAATAAAATATTTAAAAAAAAAGAGTGATAACTAGGTATGATCCTCCATTACAGTAAAACCCAGTGTAGGAATACAGAGAATGTGCCTAGCACTGTGTCTGACATGTAAAAAATACCCAGTAAATATTAACTACTTTGTTACCCATCAGGTAAGGGTAGTTTCAGAACGGCATTCAAGTAGAATGTGTTTCTAATACAGAGTCTATAAAGTAAATGTGCACTCTTGATAAATGTACCAATACAGACACCAGCCAGAACCAGTTCAATCCGGATAAGGCACTTGGTTTAATATTGTCAATATAAAAATTTTTAAGAAGATCACTAATCATTCTTTATTGCTGGGAATCTCTACATTATCTTGTAAATTGCTTTAAATGGGTACTTCAAGTTTCTGTAGGACTCTGTCAAATGCAGATAAGGGTCCGTGAAGGAAACATTTACATTTCATCAGTATTAACAACTTATTAAAACTCATGAAAATGTACATTATTGTGCTTTTTTTTTATGTTTTATATTACAATCCCTGGGACATACTTTGAAAAAAATCACTTCACTGTTACAGCTTAAATCTTAAAACATCTCAAATTCTCCCTTCAACACAGAATGCCATTCATCAAATTCCTTCTTCTAAGGAACCATAAATGCAGTAATCTAGACCCTGATAAAGGCTTTAAAGTTGTCCCATAGGATACTTGGGGTGGAGAAAGATGGAACATTAGTGTCAAAGAAGCATATTATTTGAGTCTCAATATAATTAATAAACTCTTTCTCTCCCCCACAGGAATCTGCTAAATCTCCAATTCTTATTTGTGTTGAAGCTAAAGATTTAGTTACCTACCTAACAGAAAAGGGAAAAAAGATCTGAAAAAGGCTTTAAGTATTTAGTAGTTTAAACCCTGCATAAATTGGAGATTTGAATAAAAAATCAGCCCTGGTATTTTTCTATGAAAATGGTGAACAGAAGGAATATATGTGCTCAGAGGAATAGCGTTTTATGCCAAACATCAATCAAGCAGGCTTTAGAAGCCTATTTATAATACTGTGGGGGTTCTGGACAGTTGCACTTCACACTGTGAGGACCAATCCATGACATTAGATAGTGAACAATTGAAGTCTTTACAAATAATTAAAACTCTGTTTGAAAATGGAGATGTTTTCCACAGCTTTCCTGTGTATGCACGATATCATCGATATTCAAGAGTGTAAATATTGACTAGTTATTGCTGGTAGCCAGAAGGAGCAAAATCCCCTTTGAAATAATAATGTGGAGTGTGTGTATATAACATATACATATGTATGCACACACATATGCATAGAGATGTTAAATATATAGTCATATAAGGAGAGAAAATATAGATTTCACTTTATATGACAGTTGAATAGCTATACTTTAAACAACCCATGTTCATTGCCAGTACAGTTCTAGTGTGAGTGTGTATGTATGTGTGTGCGCGATATGCAAAGATGCAAAAATATTTCTGAAATTTTTTATCTGTGATTTTTTTCCTTAGCGTGATAATGAGAGATATCATAAAGCATGCCTTTTATCTTTAAAAAAAAAAACAAAAAACCTCTCCATTGTTTGAATTGGTATCAAAAACTATATGATTTTAGAGCTTGCAGGAATGGAATTAATAATCTTGTCTAGTTTTCATAATATTTTAAACCCACCTTAAATCCTTTTGGGGTGGAGGCAAAGCACAACTAATACATAAACTAAAATCCTGGAAATGGCGCCTTAATTTGACAATTGTTCCTTTAAGAGACACGGGACTTAAAAATTTTTTGAGATTAAAAAAATCCTTCAGGATTATTATTTCAGTTTACTCATTTGACAGAGAACTGTTTAAAGATCTCAGCTACACACACACACACAAAAAAAGATCTCAGCAACACTTTGGTAGTACAAAGATACAAAAGAAACGAAAGACAT